GCCTCCACATACATGGGACCGGTGAAGGCCTCCACGTGGGACCGGCCTTTTTACGGTTTTGTGGAGGCCTTGGCTGGTCCCACGTGGAGGTCCTACGTGGAGGCCTTGGCCGGTCCCACATGGAGGCCTTCACCGATCCTATGTGGAGGCCTTGCCCGCTCCCACGTGGAGCCTTGGCCAAGGCCTCCACGTAGGACCGGTGAAGGCCTCCACGTCAAAGCCGGCCAAGGGGCCATTTTGTGAAATGATTTAGGAAAAGTTTTTTTCCGCGTGTTTTTTCCGCATGTTTTAATGGCTGGGCGGCCCCAGCAGATCCTTCACGGAGGTACACTAAAATACCTGTTCGGCTATTTTAAAATCCGCATATTTTATTGTAGTAACCGTACAAGTTCCACTGCGTCAAGCACGGACAGTGGGCGTCAAGTTTCCGCTACAAGTTCTCCCTTTGGTTCCACTGCACTATGCAGCACTCAACTCCATGGGACACCATGACACTCCTTTGGGGTTGAACCTTCTCCATTCTCCATCTTCGCACTCCACCTCTGCGCGTACCGCCCTGAACCGAGTGTCGCCGTGCCATTCAGGATCTATGTCGCTTGCCTCACGCGCACGAAGAGACCCTTCTGCCGTTTGTTGAGCCACTCGGACGTCCAATTAGCGGACCGGTCGCATCGGTCGCATCGGTCGGGACTGGAGCGAGGAGGTCCTCGTCGACGAGTTCTTCGACGTGGGGAGCACGTGGGGAAGCACCACGTGGGGTCGATGAGAACCCGAGGAGAAGAAAGAACGGTGTCAGTCGAACCAGACGAGATATTTTTGTTGGTTGCAGTCTTCTTGTGTGAAAGGACTGGATAGACTTTCTATGACAATATATGACAATAATGGATTCACAGCAGGCACTGTTAGGGAGCAGTCATGGCTACTCTCTTATAGTCTCTTACACATGTTGTCCACTATTGATCTGAAAGAGAATGACAATCAGGTGCAATTACTATAGGAGTGGATGGCGACCCCAAAACAAGGGTTTCTCACGCTTCACGGGGTCCCAGCTCATGCTTCCGGGGGTGGAGATCTTAAAGATAGTGCACTCTTGGGGAGGTCCGAGGGTCTCTGCGCATGTGTTCTTTCGCATGTGTTCCCATCCGGACGGAAGAACAACACTCAGTTGGCTTCCTTTTTGAAGCTGTTTGGGGGTCCCGCTACAACGCCAGCTTCGCCCCAGTCGATCCGGAGTCGACCTTCGACTGAGGCTTCGGGTTCCTTGTGGCTGGCTTGATGCTGAAGCTTCCTCAGGCCTTCTGAAGCATGTTTAATTTGTAATTTGCACAAATCATGCAAATACTGGGTGGTTGCTTTAGACATTTTTTCGTTGCATTATAATGTATTCAACTTTATTCAACGGCTCAACCTTTGCAATTTTACAATTATATGGGGTATTATGGATGATTGATCCCACTATTTAGACTCATATTGCTCGTTGGTGAGTTGAAACTTGAAACCACCAGCCAGATATATGTCTACGGATGTCGTAGCGGGTTGCCTTTATACAGCACCGCTGTGGAGACGGTTCGCGTCCGTGTGCCTTCCTGCAGCGATGGTCGGTCGGCCACGATGTAGCAGCCAGCACCTTCATGTTGGGGTCACCTGGCTGGAAGCCCCAGCCCACTACTTAGGGACCTCTATTGGACACCCCTTGAAGGCGCAGGAGGGTGAGTATATAGCTTTCGATGCAGTGTTTCGTCTCAAGATACCTGGAGCCTCCAAAAATAGGACATGACCCCAAGCAAAAAAGACAGGTACGTAGTACGACTGTATACATTTTCTGAGGAACGAACAGGTCAACTCCAGGTCGTCTCCATTCTCGGAACAAAGCCACAGCCCTATGAAAGACTTTGACCAGGATCCCTTGAGTAATTGACGTCATAGGTGGAAACAAACTTGGTCCCGGTCGCACGGAAGCATCACTCGGCATTGCTGTTGGGCCATCGTTGTGACAACGTGAGACGAACGGGAGACATTCACTCGGACTCACTAACGTGGAAGTGGAACAACATCATAAAACAATCCTCCTCAGGCCCAGGACATTCGTTAGGTGTTCAAGGGAACATGCCATCCAACTTCATGTGATGTGTTCGTCAGGGTGTAGAAAAACTATATTATATGGCCCACATGTTGGACGTAAGTTCTTGTTTTCCTTTGGGAGGCCCCAACATTTTGACGAAGCCACAACCTGTTGTTCATTGGGTTTTGAGTGGAAAGGGTTTAGAAAGGTTGGAGACCCGGAAAACAAACATCCATGGTCATCCATCCATTTTTTAGATGTCATCCAGGGATGGGTGGTCCTTACCTGCCTTTTTTCCTCTTTTGGCATTCGCCCTTTTTCGGGTCTGGTGAGCTGGCTTCGCTCTCCGCAGGCATCCATTCGTGCCAGCAATCCAGGGTTCAATTCCACGGCAGATCTACCGCATCTCATCCTCTTCATGTGCGCAGATATCCTGGATCACATCGGGCTAGTCATTCTCATCTACTGGGACATATGCACAGAAGCAGCCCCTGGGCAGGATGATTTTAGTCAGGGCTTTCGTTCGAGATGTTCAAAACAGGTGGGTGTAGCCACGACCCCCGCGAAGCTTCGCACACCGTTGTATGTCATGTTTTTGCAACAATCCATGTACGGAATATTTAGCTACGACGTTTAGGACATCTTCAATAATTAGTTTGTCCGTTTGGGAAGAAGTCACGTGAATTCCGTGTGGCGCGCGAGCACGTCCGTTGGCCGAGACGTGCTCGCTCTGATGCGGAGCGCCCAGATGCAGACCTGATTCATAGAGGGAGAACCTCAAGTGTATGAGTGCTCTAATGGGGAGTTGTTCACGGAAGCTAAGCAAACCAATTGAGCCGACCAGTCCCTCAACATGCTGACATCTGACATGCTGACATGCGCTGAAAACGGCCTCAGACTTGAGGAACCCCTACCTCGGAGGATCCCAACGCAAACCCGAGGTTCACTTGGTCTTTGCCTTGGATCCGAAACGCTTCACCTGGAGTCTGAAGCTGTGTAGATGGTCGGGGTACATCTTCATTTGTTCTCAGCTGGTGATCTTGGGCCCTTACCTGGCGTCCATGTATTTCCTCGAGACTCATGAGGACGGGCGCCGGTTTCTTCAGAACAGTAGCGCCACATGACACTTTTGGGACGACACGTGAGAGGCAGAGGATTCTGAGTGCATAGAGAAGGGCAGATCAGAACATGGAAGGGCAGAGATGGCCATGAGACTTTTATGCCAGCAGTCGAAGGTTGTAATCCCCAGCTACGTATATGCAATATGTGGCTATGGGCTATGGCATGCTATGGCATGCCATCCAATGTACCAGTACTGGCAAAAGGAAAAGGGCATAGTCAGTCTAAAACTTGCCAGTTCCTCGGTCTTCTTTGTGAGCCATAGCCATTTGCTTTTGGAGCCACATACTCCCCTGCGTTCCATGGGTGCAGGCCCAAACCACCAGCTCTTTGGGCTTCACACAGTCCTTTTCAACTTCCAGGAGCGGTGCGTCGGGTATATCATCTTCGCTGTGACGCAGTTCTGCATCGTTTTCGGCCTCTCGCCAAGCCTGGCCTTTGGCATGTTGGTCCGAGGCGGTAGTCCCGCTGGGTCGTTCCGGGTCGTTTCGAGATCGAATTCATTGGATCCAATTGGATGTCAAGGAATTGGGACACCAAACTGTCTAAAATAGATGGATCGAACATCACCAAACTTCATAACACATCGGAACCTCCAGAATTACACATGAATTTGGGGTAATGACAAGATATTGCAATTGAACACAAGTACTTGTGCCCATATTGACATCCTGACATGATATGAAACATGCATCTGCCGTGAGCCAATGGCCCTGCAGTGATTTCACCTATAACTACAGTTGTGATTTACATGTGATACAACTGGATGACACTAAGTGCACGTAGTAGGTGCAGCAACTGTAGATAAACTTAGTAACCTAAGTAGAGCCCCAAGCCTTCTAATCTAAACAAAAGAATTTTTGGAACTACAATCAACTGCATATATATCACCCCGGTCATCAGCACCTGGACCCTGATCATTGCCATCCAACATTGTGCATAGTGACACCCAGGGAAACACCAAGTGATGCACGCCTTACATTGGGATTCCATCCCAAATTCTGGAGTGTTCCACTCCACTCTGGCAGGCGTCCATCAACTCTGGCAAAAGCTACCTGAAAAGGTGCCACGGCACTTGAAGCATCGCCTGACCTATGCCCAGATTGGCCTGACCTTGCTGATGCTGATTACAGTGCCCCGAATTGGTTTGGGAACCGCGCTGTGCCCCGAACCTGAACCCGTTTCCGAAACCCGGCGACGTTCCGAAAAACCGTCCCCGGGTCTCCCCGATGTGGTTCTTCAAACAGCCGCCATGTGTGATGGAACGCGACCGTTGGAGGCCATCGCTAGGCTGGCAGAGCCTCTCCAACCGGGTTGGAGCCCCATTCCTATTTCGGTTGGCTCTTAGACCCACGCCCTGGGTGGATCGGATCTCATCGGATCACCTGTTCGTAGCGAACAAATGGGTACAGTCGTATGTTTGGCCTGTCCTATGACCTTGTAGAAATCATATCACTATATTGTTGGACAAGGCCTCTACCAACCATCATCATCTACTGTTACAGGTAATAATTAGATGGTAATGGAATAGACCATATTTATATGTGTGATTAATATAGAAGTATCGGGTCATGTCCCATTTTCTTTCTTTGGAGGGTCGCAGAACTTTCAGAACTCTCAAGGATTGGGGATCCACCCCCAATCAAACTTCCATTCGATTTTCCCCTTTTCGGGCAGGTTGGAGGAAACGTTTGCAGGGTTGGCCGCAATCACTTTCAGCGTTGAAAGGTAAAGATCTTTGGTTTGCCAGACATGTCCTGCCAGAGACAATCCGGTTACGAAGCGATCACGACCTGGTGAGAAGGTCGGCGGTCTCGGTCTCGGTCGAACTCGCCTGAAACAGGTGACCTTTTGCTTTGCTGGAGTGCTCACAGCGTCCGTGGAGCTTTTGCGGATCCATGCGGGGTTCCTCTACATGGACGTCGTGGTCACGGTGATTACCCTGGCGGCTCAGAATGGATGGTGGGATGGAGAAGACCTAGATCAGAGGCCCGCCATTCGATCGAACAATGAGGTAATTCGGTAATTTTCCCGTAACATGGTGGTCATTTCAGACAAGCAATTTGCTGATATCCGAAGTTTGTCATCCATTTGTATATGCAACCTGATGCAAATACCCAATGAAAATTGGGGGCTTGCAAAATTCCTTGCGAGGTGATGCGAGGAGACGGAAATACAGAGATACTGTAATCACTACCAAAATGGTCAGTTCTGTCTTGAGAGGAAACCTATCCAACCCAATCAAAAACCTCGTAGTTGTGCAAAACAATTTCTCCCATATATAAGCACCACGGAGGCTTCCGCACAAAACAAAAACAGAGAGAGAGAGAGACATTCGGTTGAAGAAGGGGTAATGGGCACCCCTGTCCTCCATTAACCACCCGCTTGGAACTCCTAGTTGTGTGTTTCTATTCATTGGCAGTTGTTTTGTGGAGGTCCGGCACGATACACTGGAATCCTTGAAGTATACAAGATGTGAGGTTGCAAAACCCTCAACAATTATAGAGACTCACAGAGACAGACCTTGAATTTGGGGAGGATGATGGAGGAGGGCGTCGGAAGCCCTGCAGAACATTCACTCTTCCTCCCCATGTGACGCTTCATGAGGTGGTGAACGTTCTCTTGGGAGGCGTGGTTCTTTTTCTTCGATCCGGTCGATGGAGAGCGGTGCAGTCCGAGGTGAACAGAACGTGGTACTGTGTGGACGGTGTGAGTCGAAAGGCGATGTGGGTGTGTATTTCAATAGGGCACAAGGGCTTTTCCAGGGGAGTCTGTTTTCTTACTTCCACTGGGTCGAACTGGGAGGTCTCCCTATATATTATACACTCCCATGTATCAGGGGGCCCCAGATCCAAGAAGGGCGATTGCGCGCAAGCGCAGATCGAAAGGCCCCTGCCCCATTGGTGGTATGAACAAGCGCCCGGCAGTGCCCAGATGGGTTGATGGGGTTGATGGGTTGATGGTTGATGGGACCATGCCGAAAGTCATTGGTTGATGGGGATGGAAGAGACCACGTCCCACTGACCATGCCGATCGCAGAACACTGTTTTGCAGACCTAGACACACGTCCGTTCGGCAGGATACAGGTCAAACTTGCTGGAGTTTCTTTGCTGCGACTTTGAATCTGACCAAACTTGGCAGCCTTGATATAGTCGTCCCAGCTACAATGCTCCACCTATGTAGGCGAGAAGAACAGGACATGGCCACACACACCACACCACCGAAAACCCCCACGTTCTCCGGCATCCGTGCACGTTCTCAGCCCCTCCAGACGTTCGACTCTCCGGAGTGGAGGTGAAGTGTATCTCACCTTGAAGCACATTTGGCGGCGGCATCTCAACCGCCATGGTCCACTGCATTCTCAGTTGGTCCAGGAAGTCATCCATGCTCGGAGCCCGAGTGGAGCGGGTGGCGTGATGGGGTATGATGGTGTGGATGGTTTACAGGCAGAATGGGATGTGGCATGATCCAGACACCCCGGCCGAAGACTGGGTCCCAAAAGTCACAGCACCAAGTTCTGAGCTCTTCCACTACATCACCCCACATCCGTCGAAACTTTCCGGTTGCTTCGCTGGGAGGCGGTCCTTTTGCGCCAGTGATGTGTCTTTTATATGGGGACTAGGGTTACGAAGATCGAAGGACTAGAAACTAGAATTCCTAACCCCCTTGTATGAAACACAGTTGAATAAGGATAGTTTGAACCTCTTGCAGGAGAAGGGAAAAAAAGACACATTCTTTGCCTCAGATCCCATGGAACACATGCGACGCCCTCGTTTTGAAACCACCCCTTTCCGCGACCGGAACCTGGCTGCGCATCGTGACCGCCCTCGAGGCGGGCGTGGCTGAGCTGTCCGACGTGATGCGATCGGTGCAGACGCAACCGCCGGTGACGCGTCGCAGAGATGGGCGTCGCCGGTGACGCGTCGCCAAGGGTGAAAAAGACCTGCAGATCTGTTTTGCCCACGGGGCATCCAGGGCCAGTGGACTCTCAATTTGAGGACTGTATCATGTTGAACGAACGGAAATTACTGCGATTCGAAAATGGAAATCACATATATAATTCAATATACTGTAGTTGGAAAAATGAACGCGCACACACATAATACATCAAAATAGCATTATTTACAACATACTGCATATAGTAGCATAATATGCGTTTCTTTTTTATGGTTTAACATTCTCTATATGTGTGATATTGAGAACGTAAATAATTTGTAGTAACTGTAGTCTGTAAAGTAGTGTGAATTTTAGTTACTCTCAGTAGTTGAAGTACATTTACACACAGTTACATTATATTTACTAAGCTTCTTCTTTAAAGCAAATTACCACTAACTCTAGGACTTAAAGGCTCATGTCTTGGCCCTGACTGCAGTCGACCTCTCGGAGGTCAATCAATTGCGGGTAGTTGGATTCCGATGATTTGGGGGCCTGGACTCCACAAACGGAAGGGCTATTGAATGGTGATGTTCTCTGTTGAAGGCCCTTAGTTCTAACCAATCAACCCCCTTTTTTGGGACCAAACACACCGAGACGGGACACGAACCACACCCGGATCTCAGATCTCGGATCTCGGATCTCGTGAGGTCTGGAAACGTGGCTTGGCGTTTGTGGCTCGGTCAGCACGTGTTTGGGGTGTCCAAAACAGGTGTCTCGGTGTCTCTGTCTCGTGTTTGTTCGTTTTGTTTGGTCCTGGGACACCAAAAAACTTCTGCATTTGCATGGACAGTGCCATGTACATGGCAACATCTGTGCATTACTTACTGTGCCATGTTTTAGTGCATTATGGCAAAAGTACATCTGTCAAAAGTCCGTTCTTTCTCACCCGAGCCGTCGCCTGTCGCCCCGCGCGAATCACGGCGTCCCGGCGCGTGGAGGACGCTTCCGCCCGCGCGTCAACGCGGAAGCGGGTGCCTATGGAACGAACCGGTGGAGAAAGACACAGCGTGAAGTATGAAAAAAGGCGCTGTTCATCTCTTTTTTCACGGGCATCTCCCAGCGGAGTGAGATGAACACTGCGCTTTTGGCTGGGTCCACACTCCCAGCATCTGCCAGCTTTTGGCTGAGGTTCACACTGGTGACACTGCTAGTATACTCCAAACCTGCGACAGCTGTGAACATCACTATACTCTATGCTTTCAGGAGTTTTGTCCTGCTCCGGTTGTAGCAGCCTCGTGCCTGAGATTTCTGGTCCAATCTGGTCCATAATTTCTGGACATGGACAACGGTGAACTTCCATCAACAGTCCTTAGTTCCAGGCAATACGCCCTGGAAGAGAGCCACATGGAACCCGAAAACGTGGGGTTGCTATTCGGAAAATCGTCTTCCAGGTGTATCATGTGAGTGGTATCCAGATGTATCATCCAGAACTTTCCCCCTGAACCGTGGCCTTGCCACCGTGGCTCCAGAGTCGAAGCACTGAAACCACACAGCGGGTGCCTGGGCGTCGACAGTCGGTCAAGGCCTGGGCCGGACTTCGGACCTTCTTTCTCGCTCCACTGTCCCAGGCCGTGGCGGATAGCTTCCTGGACATGGCCGTAGATGACTGTGGACCCGACTTGAAGACCACGGATCTTTGCATGCCGCTCGGTATCATCAGGTCCGAAGGAGGGGGGTTTTCGAAGAAGGGTCTCTTGGAGCAGACGACGAGGGTCATCTTCTTTGGTTCTGGGTTGGAATCACTTTGTTGGCCCGAACGAGATGCACGATTGGCAGTGCCAAGCTTGAAAAGTGCTGCTGTTTGGAAGCAAAGAGCCAGAGAGTATCAATAGTTCATAAATGTTTGGCAAGAAGGTGAAGTCTATAGTTATATGTTGTATTAACCTATAGTATACTATGCTATAATTATATATATAAATACACACGCATAGTTGCTATATACAAGCAAACACGTCAGACTCGTCACGACAGACTTCACTTCCGACCGGATCTTCAACACGTCACTTCCGGGTACGAGATGAGTCTCAAGAAGTGAACGCAAAGAAGCACCTGGCTGGACCTCGGGGTCACCTGGCTGGTTTCGCCCCTACATACACCACACACCACATACGATCAGGGGACCTCCAGACAGGACACCTCGTCTTTTTAGTCCAGGAGATGATGAGATTTACTTGTTTCGTTCCTACCATGTATGGATGCGTCTGCAAACTTCCAAACAACCTCGTGCTGGAGGTCTTGAGGTCTGTGCTCCGTCTTGAGGTCTGTGCCCCGTCCCATGAGGTTGATGTCCACGATCGACCAGCTGAGCTTGCAAAATCATTGTGACAGATTTGGCAGAAGCAGATGTCCCAAAACCACTTTGATCTACTACACGCGCAAAAATGAGTTTCAAAAGCACAAAAAACAGTTCAACAACTCCTCGTCATTGCACGCAAAGCAAGATATGACATGATGAACTTATTTTTGGTAAACCCACCCAGTGGACAAAACATGCAGCTACCACGGACTATTGTTGCTCGATCATGCAAATATGGACTGGTTCCAAAGACTAGATGGCTGCCACTGGGCCAGAAAGACATTTTATAACCTGATAGTCCACCCCTTGGCCACACAAAATATTTTTTTTACACATACTAACCCCAAAACCTAAAACTAAGAACATCATAGTGCTCGGATGTTGAAAGTAGGCAAACTCGTATGGCTGCCAACCGTAAAAGTCTTCTCTAGTGCCGCAACATTCCCGCAGATCGCGCCTTCTTTTGTTGTGGGATGTTGAGGTTGTTGGCATGAACCCCAGACCTTGGCTTCCAATCCGTACCTTTGGTCCACCTGTAGCGTCATTTGGGTGCGTCGTGAAATGGCGGCAGCGAGCGTCGTTCGGTTGAGGAGATGGTTGAAGCCTTTGACGTTGCCGGCGCGCTGCTCGATCTGGGAAGCCTTCAGCACTGGCTTTCCCAAGCTCTACGGGGCCACTTGGGGTTGATGAGGGCAGGGCTATCATTCAGAATTTGGTATTGCATCCCGGGTCAGCAGGCTTGAGGAAACATGCAGGGGTCACAAGGTGGTTGTCATTTTCTGGTTTCCGGCTGAGACCAGTGCGGGTTGCCTGGAGTGCTTCCAGATGTCCAAGGTGTCCAAGACATCCCTGCACCACACATGAGAGAGCTGGCCTGCCAGAGGTATGACCCTAAAAATGAACGACGGTGTTCGCTGGCAGCTGAGAATCTCTCTGTCTGCACGGAAGAACATATGCCCTCTTTGCAAAGATGCACGCATGCGGAAGAGGTCTTAGTTTCTGTCTCACTATCCTAGACTCCGGAGACCAGTTCCCCAGCTGTTTTGTACCAAGAAAGACCCTGTTTTCTCCAGCCTTCGCACATTGTTTGGAGCCTATTCGAGCCTATGAGCTTCGGTGTCTGAGGCAAATTACCCGCAAGTGTCTCATCAGAGCTATGGTCTTTACATTGGACAGCCCACTGTCATGGTCAGCCATTGCTGGGCGAGCTCCTATTGGGAGCTGATGCTCATCATGAAGCGTCGCTCGTTTGATGGAACCAGTTGCACAGGGGGGTGATTCCAAGAGATGTTTCATCAATTCCTCAGTAGATCTAAAAGGCCAAGCAGGGCAATAATGAATGTGTGCCGCCCTGAAAACAGTACTCGAAGTTAATTACAGTCATTTTCCAGACAGGGTGCTGGTGTTTTGTCCGTGTTCACTGTGCGAGTTTTTCCTGCAGCCAAGGGTGGCGAACAGCATTGAGATTGCAAGACTCCTGAATCACTATACAAAACACAATAGATAACTTCAATTTTGGGTATTTGCACAGTTTAGAATACGTAGTAAACACAATACCGTTCAAATACTTTTTACTACCAAGGTATCAGTATCATCCGCATCTTCCGAGGGGCGATGCCTAGGTTTCGATGAAAATACCCAGAGCAACAACCTCTTCTTCCTGGACGTCTTTGCCATGAACCAGCATGACTTCGCAGATATGACTTCCGTGCAGCTCAATGGCTCCGATACGTTCAGCCCCACCTGCTCAGTGAAGTCCGGGGGTTCCGACCTCGGCGATGGATTCAAAGATGTCTATCAGACCCTTGGATGTCGGGCAGTGGACCGGGGCCGACCTGTTTTGGTTCTGAGGAACCAGTCTGGTGGGCCTTGAAACAGGTTCCGCATTGTTCAGTCGCCGCATTTGCTGGTGAACAACAGGCATTAGCAACCTCAGTTCCATCATCTTCCATCAATACAGACATAGGCACAAAGGTTGTTACATGTGATAGCCCTCGGCCCGGACAACTCCTATGTCATGTCACCCCACTTTTCCTCAGTTACTTGAGCCCACCACAATCATCTACATATATGTGCTAATGTTCTAATAGTAATTTGTTTGTCGTACTAATAAGATCAGGACTGCTAGAGTAATTCAAAAAAGGTCAGTTATAAGTCTGGAACGAGAGGATGGTTGTTATACAGGAGAAAGCTCTGTTGTGCAGAGGAAGCTGGCATACAATAGTTGAGATGGAAGTTCATTATGTACAGGAAAAGGTCCGGTTTACTATTGCCACGCAGGAGGCAGTTGGAATTGAAAGGACAGTTATTTTTCTTTTTTTGAGCTTATATTCTATGTCATTGCTTTTCTTTTAAGGATATAATATGTGATAATATAGAACTTTTGAACTTGATTGTTTTAGATTGGCTAGAAGAAATAGTCGAAACATTTTGCTGGGAAGAGGTTTATTCTTATACAGCAGCAAGTCCGGTTTATTGGTCGTTTTAAGTTGTAACCCATTGATAAACGCAGTTTTTCTCACAGTCGTTTATAATTGACTGACTGGTCGTTCACTGTAACCTATATAGTGATAAACAATCTTATTTTTTTAAGACAGTTTTTTTGTAATTGACTGTTCGTTTAAAACTGTATATAACCTATACTGTATATTGACAAAAGCAAGCTTTTTATCGACAGTATTTAATTCATGATTGGAACCTGTGGGAGACAAAGATGGGTCCATAATTGTCCAGCTCTCTACTTCAACCTACTGAAAAAGCATCTATTTTTGACAGTAGTTCATTATTGCATGGTTTCGATCGCCGAGATATCTCGTAGGTTTATATCATTGACTCGTAGTTTAGAATTGTGATGTGAATGGTAGTGCCATTATGTGCCATTTATCTCTATATATATACATCCCCTCCATCATATACATAGAGGGTATTACATGATGGCACATAATGTAGTTTGTTCATTATGGCGCATAAGTTAAATACGTCATGTAATTAGTGTGTTCATTTTGTGCCATTATGTGTATTTAACTTAATACATCCCCTCCATATAGATATTCGCTTGCTTCCCAATCTGTCGAAGATGGGGTTCCGATGGCTCCTGGCTGGATGAGGGAACTGTCCGAACTTTCCTCCGCTCAATTCAACAAACAAAAAGGAGGCGAATGGAGGCGACCTGGGTGTTGAAATCGAGGGAACCACCAGAACCCTTCAACAGTCAAGAAGTCAGCTGAGACTTTCAGAAGGGTCCAACACCCCACTAGACCCATTGCAGATGCTGATCGAGGATACTCAGCAAAAACAGTCTCTCGTGTTTCTTTTTTTGGGGTGGACATTGGTTGTTCTGATTACCTGCGAGGTGCAGAGGTGCTGCGTAGACGGAGATGACGATGCAGAGTTTCAAACTTGCTTGTAGATGATGAGACCTTTTATAGTGTTTATACTTGCTTTATATCTACTTGCAGAGTTTAAAACTTGCTTGTGCAGGTGACCATCCGAAAACATGCCCCACTGGTGAATCTATTTCACAAGTCGACCATTTTCAGTGCTTGGTTGGTCAGGACCATGCTACGTGCCCTAACACGAGCCTTGGACGTATGTTGTGGCCTGGGCGTGGTGGTATGATATGTTTTTCCGGTTGGTGTGGTTTAGAATGGTTTACAATGTACAGTGTTTACAGAGCTCAGCCTGCTCAGCCACTGATGAATTTGAAAGAATAGGAATATTGAGCCAGACCCAATCGGTTTCTGATTTGATGAGATTCACGTCCAAGTCTATGGGTCGCGAAATGTAAGCAGCCATGCCTCTAGAATGTGTCAAGAACAGGAGGAATTCCACTGTTGGGAGGTTTCTAGCTTCACGGGTCCTATAGGCACCTAGAGTTGAACACCTTGTGTTTTTTCAATGTTTTTCTTATATATTCCTATAGACAGTACGGGACCAGGTAGACGTTGACCATCGATCAGCGGATGTCCGCCGCGCAGGTCTGCGGGACCGCAGGTCCTCCAGTTCGGACGACTGTGGACAGTTCCGACGGTGTTGGTTCCGGACTGGTGAACTGAAAGACTCAAGTTAGGCCATGCACTAAGACAGGCGTCTTTTAAAGGAGTCTTTTAAAGGGTCCTGGTGCATGTCCCCTTTCCTAGCCTCACCTTGCTTTGCGAGGATCCATTGAGCTGCCGGGGCGGGTGCTTTTGGCGATGACGCCACATCAACAGCCCTTGCTCTTGACCCGGTCATGGTGTTTGTACGAGATCTACATCGCCTGGAAAGTGGGTGCCGAAGTCTATTGCGCCTTGATCAACATATGGAAATGTTTGTGTCTATTTTCCATCAGTTAATCTGAACCTGAAATGCCTCCTGTTTTGGAGCACCTTGCCCAAACATGTGGGCCGTTTCTGTTCTGAACTTCGTCACGAACTTCGTTTTCGACCTCGATGGGCCGCTGGAAAGCGGCCGGGATCAGACGAACTGAGGTGGTTTCATTCCGGAGGCGGAGCAGTCGGTGAAGCACAGCTTGCTGGACACCCGTCGTTGCCACGGGTCGGAGGGTTCCTCCGCTTGACGTCGGCTCCCTTTCTTTATATGAAGAACTTGCTGCGGGCAGACGGTTTCGTCAAGTAAACATGAAACCTCAGTCTGAAGTTCGGTTTAAATCGGATATTGGTGTCCTAGTTGTTCATGTTCTCGATTTTACTTTGAATTGTGCCCTTCCAGTTTCCGGTCCCTCTCTAGCTTCAACCAGTGCTTTTTTGCCTTTGAATGGGACTCTTGGATACTCTTGGAGTCGTTACCTACAGGAACCGGAAGTTAGGGATGTTGTGCGGAATATCATGCATGTCCTCGGACATATCTAACATATCCCTAAGTGGATGTGTCTTCGGACTCACCGTCTGTTCCCCGTCGTCTGCCAGAGGGAACCAGCCATGACCATGTCACCGTTCCACGGTGCTTTTCGCTCTCATGTTCGATCACCTCCACGGGAGGTACCTCGCCCGACAAGCTTGCTTCTGTAAATGATGGTAAGTGTACCCCAAGGCTGGTTCATTTATTCATGAGTCAGAAGAAATGACCAGGGTTGACTTTATAGTTTCTAGAAATTGAAGAATGTGAGTTTGGCCCCTAAATCCTGAGCCTCTCTGCTTGATTTGTCGGATTTTTCCTGCTTTCAAGAGCATTTTGGGTGGGGTACTGTGGGCAAGTATGAACACAACGCCAAGCGGCAAGCGTCCTTCCCAACCCCTCCACCTAAGACCTTGAAACATCTCCCTTCAGAACATGCAAGCAGCCCAGCCCAGCCGTCCTCTCAGTTCCCTCAGCAGCTCCCTGCGGCGACGCCATACCCATCGATCGACGTGCCGACGATCGACGATCGCCTTTGGACGACTCGTGCAGCGCCATGGGGAGACGACTCTCAGCGCGACGCGTTGCTCGACGACGCGAGGAGAGTGACGCGTTGATCAACGAGATGTTGAGCGCGGTGGACGCTGAGAAGTCTCGCGCCACCGTGGAGTCGGATCGCAGCTTGGTCGGATGTTCCGCCGGGAAGGTCGCGGAGTGTGTCAGGTGCGAAGATGTTCTGATTGCTACGTCGTCCATCCGAGGTTCTAAGATGATCATACGTATCCCGAAAACGACCTGCGGTTTGCCAGGGCGGACCCCGAATTTGTCGCTGGGACCGGGGTTTGTAAACATGTGCAAAGTAGTGGGAGACCAAATACAGCTCTGTCTAATGAGGGCCCTGGTATAAGGCAAGCAAAGCTGTGGGTTACACCGCCACCCGATGATGCTGGAACAGTCGAGATACAGTCGCGGTCGCGTATATCTCGGTGTAGGCATGCTCTTCCAAAGCAAGGCATCTACAAAGGAGCCTACCCGAACCAAGGCGAGATGATCTTGAGTATGATCAGCAAAGCGGGTGTGACTGGGTGACAAAATGAGACCCGGGGAGATGAGAAGAAGAATGCGCATGGGCCGAGCAAACACGAGCACGTGAAGGATACAAGATACACTGATGTACTTTACTCCGAAAATTCTATCTTCCTTGCGGCAGAAGCAGGGACCCTTTCTTTGCTCCATGTTTGTTGTCTCCTATCACACTCTGCATGGGAATTTCATGGAATTTATGGGTGCCTGGGTTTTAGACTGTGTTCAAAAGAGTTATTTTTGTTATAGTTTTCGTTTTCTTATAATATATTTTTTTCGTTATTTCTTTCTTTGTCCGTTCTTTCTTTCTAAAATTATCTAGTATCCTTTTCACTGTCTCTCTCTACTTCTCTCTCTCTCTCTCTCCTCTCCCTCTCCTTCTCCTTCTCCGTCTCCTTCTCCGTCTCCGTCTCCGTCTCCTCTCTCCCCGTCTCCTCTCTCCGTCTCCTCTCTCCGTCTCCGTCTCCTCTCTCCGTCTCCTTCTCCATCTCCGTCTCCTTCTCTTCTCTTCTCTTCTCTGCTCTGCTCTGCTCTGCTCGGCTCTGCTCTGCTCTGCTCTGCTCTGTCTCTCTCTCTCTTTCTCTCCTCCTTTGTTTTTTGTCCTTTGGGACCATGTAGGCTGCTGGATCGACCATACTGCTGAGTGAAGTAAACAAATCCTTTGTCCAAAGACGATCTGTCTGGCTTCCATCAAGGTTGATCGCTTCAACTCCTTTGTCCAAGAGAAACTCTCTGCATCTTTACGTGCCTTGGACGCAGCAGTTCCCGTGAACGTGAAAGGCGTGAACCGATGTTCACGCTACAAGACATGCTCCCCCAAAAAGGGCTCCAAGCAATATCATAGTTGGACCTGCACCCACCCACAGCCTTGTGCAAGAGGTAGTTGGATCCCTTGGCATGCTAGGGACCAGCATTCTTCGCCCCTTCGGACGGGATCAGACCGGTCGTGGCGATGCCGGGTGATGCCCGCCTTTTTTACCCGAATAGCTTATTGCGGTTGGCTTCAGCGCTTTTTTCCAGTGGTTGAAAAGCAATTTTTACCGTTCTTTTTGTTCCCTTGCGATCCAGGAAATACTTGCAGGTTTCGTGTTGCACATCATGGATCATGGGGCGTGGTACGGTGACTTCAGGATGACTTCAGGATGGTTTATGTATTTGCAGTTTCTTGTTTGGGCATTTCTTAGGTTTTGACCATGGGTGGATGGGCCTCCTCAACACCTTTTGTGTAAGAGAAAGCGAGTTGAACTCGAGAAAGTCATGCCACAATAGGGGAAGACTCCAAGGAATGTGCTCCATAGTGAGAGAGCCCCATCAAAACCGTGGAGATGTATGGAATGTACTCCACCATTCCTTAGAAGACTCAGCAATGGACATCTCCAAGGAATGGTGGCTCTCTCCACGCTGCTGATGACCAGCGAGGAGCCTCCGCCTCCGGCACTGGATCGCTGCGCTGAGAGCAGGAGCTCTGTAGCCACGCGACACTTGGCGATGGATTGGACACGAGGACGAGGGAAGAACTTGGTGGGTTATATCGTCCTTCAGGATGGATTTGGTGCTGGAATGATGCGCGTCAGGGTCAGCCAACAGCAAGAACATCTAAACACATCTAAACACTGTTTGAAGCCAGAGGAGTTTGTTGGTGGACACCCCGGTAGCCACCGATGGGCACCCCGAGTATCCTGCGAACTTGGGCGTACCATGTTTTATCGGAGAGCTACCAAGCAGTGGTGGTCGATGTCATGTCCACGTTTGCTGGAAGGGCTTGAGAGTTTGTCCGTCAGGCTGATGGGTCAATCGTGTTGGCGGTGAATGACTCTGGTGTTCAATTTCAGCACGCTTGGAAACTCTGGCAGTCCATGAACCTGACTCGACGCAGAGTTTTATCTCGACCTAAGCTCTCCATGACGACCATGCAGTCATCATGCAGAAAAATTTTGCTGGTTTGGTTTCTGTTGCTTTGCATCAGATTTGGTATTTCAGCATTTCAATAGGGTGCCCCCCCCCCAAAAAAAAATGGTTTTGGAGAGTTTGGGCACCTTTTGGCACCCCAATGTTTCCCTTCCAAACCTGGTGGGTCTTCGTCTATCCGATGGGCCGAGCTTGGCAGCAAGGTGTCTAACTGAGACCGAGTAACGATGTGGCTGGGTGACACTCTTCTAGGACACACTAGTGTGCAAGCTTGACACTCTTGTGCCGCACAAATGTGGGACTGAGACAGTGAGACATGAACGGCTGGAGCCCTGCCAAAACACCAACACTGACCTTTCGGCATTGCATGCCCATGTAGCTACTTTCGGCTTTCGAATTGGAGAGCAGAACAGCTATCTCTTTCGCTGGAGGAGTTGCGTAGCAACCTAGCCTATTTGCTGGAATCAAAGTGTGACAAAGCAAAGGGAGGGCCCAGAATGTCCCAGGATCAGTGTCATGGTTCTTCGCAATCATAACATATCATAACCATAATCAGATACGGTATTTACATAATACTCTTGAATCATCTTGAATCGAGGTTTGGCTTTCCTTGGGTGTCAACCTCAGTTCGAGCTACTTTGATGTCGACCCGATGCCCGACCGATGTCCGCGATGAGTCGAGCAGACCGTGAGATGAGTCGAGCGACACCCATGCAAGACCTCTTCCCTGAATGAAACCAAGAGAGGTTAAGTGATTAAGTGACCTGAACTAGGACCCTACTGGGGTACCTATGGGATAGTATAGTTCGGGTCATTCAACCTCTGTTGGAAGGGTTCTCCCTATCTGCGAACACCTGCGAACACCCAATGAGGAGAGGCGAATGGCAAGGGCCAGCCCCTCAGAGAAGCAACATCATGTCGGTGAAATATAGATGGTGAAAATTAATTAGTCACTTCCAAAAGATCAAGAAAAGGTGAATAATGGGTGATTTCACCACCAACTTTGTGTACTTTTGCACATTGTTTTTTATGTTTTTTTTTTTTTTTTCTGGATTTGTTTTCATTTTTTTGATTTTTTATCGGATTCTGCTTTTGCTGCTTTTCTGCTTTTGTCGCTTTTCTGCTTCTGCTGCTTTTCTGCTTTTGTTGCTTTCTGCTTTTTTTGTTTTTGTCTTTCTGCTCTTTGCCTTTGTTGCTTTTCTGCTTTGGCAACTGTTCTCCTTTCTCTTTTTGTTTTTGCTTTTCCATTTGTTTGCTTTCTAACCTTTGAATCTGGTGTGCTGCTGGGAGGGCGCTGCGCCCCCCCAACCCCCTCCCTCGCGCCACGAAATCTGCACTTCATCTCCGACACCCGCGCCTGCCACGAAATAAATATGTTAAGGTGAACTCCCCGGGGCATAAACTTCTAACCATATATTATGCCTCCTGTGCTGGTTCTCTTTCTCTTTACTGTTTCTCTGCTAACGTGGGAATTTCTTTGACACCTACACTATTCCAATGTATTTTGCCAGCTACGACAGCTCCCAAATTAGTCTAATCAGCTATCAATTAATATGAAACCTGCACTATTCCAATGTATTTGGCCAGCTACGACACCTGTGTCTTTGCTAAGGACACGAAATTGCTGTAATTAGCTAGGTACTAATAAGAAACCTGCTCTATTCCAATGTTTTAGAACAAAAACAATCTGAACAAGTGAAAAACCATCCCAAATTTAAAGTGCACCCAAATTTTCCAAACATGCCAAACAGTGTAGCTTCTGTGAACAATTGATGGTTTCACTTTTTTCAATAACATGCAGAAATCGCGATGACATCAGTGAACACCAATCACAGTTTTTTCCAATCATGACATACATTAGTTCGTTTGATTGTGAAATTGATGAAACATATGAAGTGTTTTGTTTGATTTTAGTTGGTCAACTTCCTCAATCACAAGAGTAGGCCTTGCAGCTCCCCAATCGGCCCAAATCCATACGACGCTTCCGTCCGCGACCAGACTCGGAACCCGACCACCGGGCTCGTCCGGCTCGTCCGGCTCGTCCGGCTCGGCGTCGACGATCGACGACTTGTTCGGAGCGACTGAGGAAGTGAATTCTTTCATCGCGATCTTGATCTGGAGGTGCTGGGTGGCCCTCTGGGCTCAGATTAATCCACCTGAGTTGGAGGTTTGGTGCGGGGTGGATTTTCCCCGAGTCCCAATAGCCGTTATTGATGGGAGAAGTAACTTACGAGGGTGTTTTGGGGAACAACATCCCAGAGCCTATGAATTCAACAACCCATCCACATAATCTGACAGAACGGATCGCCGCTCTTTTGCAGATGTGACAGATCGCCGTTCTACTGGAACCGCTGAGATCCATCGAAGCCCATCCCATCCACATATGGTCTATTTTGTATCTTGAGAAATCCTGCACATTCTCAAGATCAGCTCAACGGCAATCCTGGGTGTACGTCACGGGTGTTATAGACCTTCGATCGAGTACATCAGACATGATTTAATGATTGGTAAGTGAAAGTAGACCAAAAGCACTACTTGGTGAGTAGGCAAAGCCAGTAGAACTGTAGAGTAGGGAGAATCAAGTAGAACCACTGTTTAGTAGATGAGCATGGACTGATAGACTAAAGCCAGAGTCTATAAAGGCAACATATATATATATATATATTAAGTTATATATATATATATACATCAAGTGTTTGTTGGTGAAGAAAGCCATTCCAAGGCCTAGACGATGACATCGACAATGACTCTGATTCTTTTCCCGTTTGAAGCGGCACGAATCAAGTGAGTGACGTGGCTGTGAATTGCATCCGAGGACCAAGCTATTTCAGAGATGTTTTCCTGCATGAACTATACAGGAAGAACACACAGAACCTCAATTCTTGGGCAGAAAGAACTACATCAACTTTATGATACCCACAGAATTCATCAGAAGAAAAAGCCGCTGTGTCCAATCCCCAGTTGATCTGTGGTCCGGATTGAGCAGAGCTGGCGACTTCCGGAGGATTCGCCAAAGAGTTGCAGCAGCAATCCAGTTCCCCGCACGGCATGGATGTCTTTAGTAGCTGTCTTCCAGCCCCATAGAACTCCACAGTGTCTTGGTGTAGACAGTACGAATCTGTTTGGATACCTTCTATGCGGGTCAGGATTAAGCTGGATTCACACTTGCTTCACGGGTATGAGGTTTGAATTTGGTGGTGTGAGTTCCGCACGGTTTTACGCTTCTCTCGGAAAAGATGACTCTACAGATCTCTACAGTCTTCCAACATCGAAGAAAAAGAGCAGGACTCGCTTTATTTTGATCATATTTGACATCGAGCGCAGGAGAGGATAAACTTGATATTGGAATGAAACAATACAAGCCAACCGTGGATGTAGCATAGCAGCACCGCCGAGACTTGTTCTTGCCTATGCAATGAAAACCGATGCCGCCCTAATATAACTGTGTTGTTTGTTTTGATATTTGCGACGTTGGTTGCTTTTATACAAAGATGTTGCCTTAATTGTGAAAAGGAACTTGTTTGCAGTTGGCATTTCTGTGGGGGTTCAACCTCCGTTGAAGTTGTTTTTTGTGCAGTGTCGATGTCCGGTGTTAGAGAGCTACAGTAACGAGTTTGTGTTTTGTTTCCTTAAGAGCGTTGGTAAGTTCTTTTTTGCTATGCCCTTTCAGGGTTTGAACGTTGAGGATTCTGCGTTCTGAACTTGTTTTGAGGCCTATCTTCACTAGGGGGCTGGTTCCGCTTTGCATGCTGGCGCTCGTGAGAAATCGTGTTGTAAAATACGACTCATCAATCATACGTTTGAATATGTGTTTAATGCATGTTCATATGTATTTCAATATTTTAAGTAATGTTTTTTTTTTTTTTTAATGTAATGATTCTTACTGATGATCATTGATGCAACCAGTGGTGATGCCATGCACACCGGCTGCCACTGCTGGGACGTCGGTTTGCCACGGCGGGTTCCATCACGGTGATGGAGACCGAAAGCCGTGGTGCGCGCCGGTGAGCCGCTTCGACCTCCAGCTTCCCCATGGGAAGCGTCGTGCAAAGATGGGGGCAATGTGGGTCATGTTCTGGCTCTCTTGATATGTTTTTCCGAACTTGAGCGACAGGTCGTCCTCATTTGTGGGATCCTCTGGCTGCAAGCCGGGTATTGGAGAGTAAACCCAACTCTGTCAAAGCAGTGTGGTGCACATGGTGCCTTTTTCTTCACCTGACACTGGTGATCGCCAGTGGCAACCAGGAAGGGCGGTTGAATTCATTGAGGTCCATAATCCACAAAAGTTTCCAATGGTTCAACATGCTTAGGGCTGCACTTCCGGTAAAGGCGGCTGAGGTCCCACGCCCGGATGATCCATCGCGGATGGACGATCTTGCAGCTAAATCTGTTGAGTGCAGTTGGGAAAGCGGAACGATTGCTTCTTACAAGGACGGACTTAGACATGCGATTGTTCAGCCCATGTTGTTCTAAGTTGGAAAACATGTGTTCGAAGAACGAGTCTCTGTGGACAATTCGGACTTGCACTCTCAGACAACCCGAATCCGGCTAGCTTGCACTGCGAAGCAGGAAAGAGCAGCACGGCAGCCCTTCACAGGAAGGATACTATAGATGTCGTGCAGCGAACCGCCACAATCAAATATACCGAACCCCTCAGCAGGGTACGGTGCACAGGCGGTCGGTTTTGTGAAAACACACGGTTGACCATATTGTTTTCCATCTTGGTACTGGTGTGAAAAGACCCAAACTTCTAACATTTCTATCTCAGTACCTTTTGGCTGACATGTTTTGCTTGTCAAAGCCCTGCATTTGATGAATCATGAATCTAAATTATGTCAAATCAATTGACGCATGACATCCAAGAGGACTGGAGATGATCCAGGTCAGAGCCTCGATCACCAGCTGAGGTGAAACCTGCGCTGGTAGGTCAATTGCTTGCACAGAAAACACTGCTACGGCAGTCTGATGGAGCTAGTGGTGGGCGAAAAGAATATGGATGGAGACCGTTGGATTCCTGGAATCCAAAGATCATCTGAGAAGAGTCGCTTCTCGTTGAACCACACCCTTTGGTACCAAAAACACAGATTCTGCTGCATGTGTCACCCTCCCAAACAACCAATCAAGTGGGGTGCTTTTTTGGGGAGACCTGTTCCGTCGATATTCTTGAGCCTCATCCACTGCGACCGCCCGCTGTGGTGCAAGCTTCGACGGCGATGTCAGGAACAAGACCCTCGCATGAGCCGCTGCGACGAAAGGATCGCCGCACTGCGCGATGTGATGTTGTACGTAGCCGTTGTAGCTGGGTTTGTAGAGGCACGGGCCACGTGTATGTTTGTTTCAACGATGATTTTTGTCATATGTAAAGGATCCACCATAAAATTTTGGTTGCACATGGAACTGCACAACCCTCAAGCTGGTATATTCCCACACCTGCGTTTTCGTTTCTTGGAAGAGGGAGCAGGTGTCCCCACCCCGTGGACTGCACTCACCTGGTGCTTGTAGAGAACCATGTGGGGTTTCCCCACCGTTTGGAAAGGTTCTTTTCGATTCGAGGACTGTACCAGAGGGAAAAGCAGAAGGCTTTGGTAGCCTGAAGGTAGACTTGCAACTAAGAACCGTTGATCAAACGATTTAGTTTTATCCAGATCATGTCTTTTCCCGAGTTGATCCATTTCTGGAAAACCCACATTGAGGTCATGTGAGAGTTTGTCGAACAAAGAGACGTCTCATGTCGAACAGTTGGCCCTTTGGCTCGTCTCAACCTACGTACCTGGTGTGCTATGGATCCTCGCCCCATCGATCCTTCTTTTTCAGCGCTGAGACCGGCATGGTGGGAGGTAAGCCTTTGAGATCTGTAGGCAGGCAAGCCGGAAATCCTGTTGTTTGAAGGGAGGCCATCGAAATGCAGCAAGATCCATGCAGGACTTCTCGCGTTCGGGGAGCTCTATATAACCGGGAGCTTTGGTCTCTAAAGTGGTAAAACCACTCCAAGCAGAAGGGTTCCCAGGCACCCCTACTGAAGTTTCGCTTGAGCAACTGGCAGTTGCACTAGTAGCCCTTGTCAAGTGGGATGCTCCTAGTAGCGTCCTTGCTCCTAGTAGTACGGCCAGGAGCCCCTAGTAGCTTCTTGTTCCTAGTAGCGATGCCAGGAGCCCCTAGTATCGTCCTTTCTCCTAGTAACGATGGTTTCTTTTCCTGGGCCATGGATGTTTTACCCAACATTGGAGCTGGTCTCGCTTGTCGCGTAGCTGCCCATATTGCGGAAGCGCCTCTCATGTGGCGCTTGCAAGGTGGGGTTGCTTGAGAGGGTGGAGGAGGGCGAGGAAGACCAGCAAACAATTTGTTCCCACCATGCTTCAATTGATTTGGTATAGGTTTTGACCAAGTGAGAATTTGCTGGCTTTGGAAGATAAGAACTTGGTGGACTGGATGAACGAAGCAGGAAAGTGTGGAGAAGGCCTTGAGAGGGAAGATGTTGCACTGCTTACTGGTTCATGGATTGTTTCCTTGCTCTTGACAACCGACCCTTATAGTGACCAGTGCTGGTTGTGGTGGATGGTTGATGAACCGCACCGCACCTAAACTAAAGAATCCTCTAAAGGATGATGAAGGCCTAAGGGGCAGAGCTTGCGAAAGGGTCGTCTCCTTGAGCTCCGCACGACGACCCCACATGACAACCTCCATTTGTGCCGCAAACATGCCCTTTCTACTCAAAAAGAGCAAACACATGTGACCTCCAAGAAAAGAAAACGGATTGACCCAATCATTCAGTCAGGTGAAAACTGGGTGATCAGTCGTGCCACGCAAAACATACACACACATTGACCCCTGAAAACCACCAAAATGTACCCAGAGTGGATCCCAAACCACGAACGTTCGCTGGGCGTCCCCTCGGCGTCCGACGACACCATCAATCATCGACCGGGCCCTCAGCGGAGCCCCATGGGCTCCAAGTCTTACTAGTCGTGGTTGCCTGGGCTCCACTAGGGTATAGGTATACCCTTTGGCTCACTAACACGGACGTGGAAAATGGATCCTTTGATGATGAAATCACTTCAATGTTTCTTTCGAGGAGTGTGTGGACTATGCAGTAGCTTCTTCTATTAACTGACATTCCGAGTCGGAGTCCATACACAGTGCCCATCCCATGATTCGTCAGTCCCAGTCCCCACTACACGCCCAGGCGGGATGCGTTCTCGCTCGACCAGGCCTGGTCGAGCAGTGTTTCAGGAAAGGAACCCGCTAGGAGGTCCCACAGTGGAAGGTGGATGTAGCAATGATGAAAAAGGATGAGACAAGGATGCTTGGCACATCTTGGCACACATTTCGGATGACATCCATGATGTTCCACAGACCAAAAGACACAGTGCGATACGAGTGAGACCACCCGAGTGAGACACCACATGATGGGATCGTGTCTTTGTTCGTCTCACCGACCCATGGGTCGTCCATGCAGTCGTGGATGCACGTGGTCCTCACGTGGTCCAGGGAGAATTCATTCGCGCACAAGGCCGCGGTGATGGAGTCATTTGCTGATTTCCTAGTGTACTATCAGGTGACTCAGCGTTATGAAGTTATAGTTATACTACTCAGTTGTTCTAACGTAAGTTCTTCAAGGATCTTCCAGCAACGCATGGAGATCAACTAGAGTCAGCAAAGAGGCATCCATTTCGAGATACCCAGGGTGCAGCTAAGCATCAAAGATCATCAAACAACTTCTCTCCGGTCAGCTATTTAGTGTATATACCTATAATATATATATATATGTGTATAGTAGCTTTGCTTTTGGTGACACTTCTTGGTGTATGTTTAGATGTGTTTAGTGTTGAACAGTCTTCCCAACTTTCCGGTATTTTTAAGCAGGGACCCTTCGCCCGTCGCCCCTCTAAAACCCTTTGGCTCGCTCCCTACGAAAAAGCGACGTGAACATCCTCGCCGCTTCTTCGGCCACACCAAAACCACGCGAGCCTCGCATCGCGGATCGCCCCAGGGGGGCTGGATGAATTCGAGGATCTCCCTGTTTGCAGCCCTCTTTCTCCGGCTTCCGTGATATGTTCATTGATTTTCCCACGATACCACCCTGTCATGAGGATGAACAAGCTGTACCCCACTCATAGTCCCCTGGCCAGTATGCTTTTTGGGGTACAGATCCAATCGGACGGTTTTGCCCTTTGGATCCGTTTGCAAAGCAAACGATGAAGAGACATCCATGGTCACAATCGCCCCTACGTAGTATGTAGCCGTTATGCACTAAGTACATGCAAAGCACATGTCTTCAAGGGTCCTTGGGTGGTTGGTAATTATGGAACTTCATTTTGCCACAGCCGCATCAGCATGTTTCGAGGGCTAGAATAGAAGGAAAGAAACTAAGGCCAATCAGTTGTTGAAATCGGGAGCCCATCGATTTTTGCTGATGGTGTAAGTGCCAATGCCAATAGATTAATTGCTGAACCACGGGCGAAACACGGGGCCATGCTCATTGGATTTAGACAACCATCGCCAACCAATGTTTTTCTTCAACGCATCTGTGGTGTCGGTTTTGTTCTCAAAACCTCTGGGTGGGAAACAACATGAAACAACCATCCAAGGAAAGCACCTAATTACCTTTTTGGCTATACACCTATGATACACATTTGAGCCATGGTCAAAATTGGGGGATGATCAACCATTACTAGGGTGATGACGTCATCCATTGGTCAATAGGGATAGACATGAGAACCATAGCTCATATGATAGACATGCGAACCTATCACCATCCGAACCTATCACCCCCTGCCATCGCTCGGTCCATGGACTCTATGGGCTCGGACGTGGACTCGAGAGCCGCTGTTCGAAGTCCCAGAGGTTGCACACATGGTTCATGAAGTAAGGAAGAAGAGCACGTGATGAAGAAGCACGAAACCCAAGTGACCTCAGAGGGCTGGAAGACTTCAGTGTCCGAAAAAGATGTGACCGAGTCATCAAAACACCCAGAGGAGTCTATCACTCGTATGTCGTCAACCGGACATCCTGTTTCACTTGGCAGAATGAAGTAAATGGACTACAAAACGATGCCAACCTGCGATGCTTGTCTTTTGCCATATGGTCCTGTAGTTTTTGTCCGACCGACCGTTTTCCATTGGTTGCGAGGTCCCCGTATTAAAACACCCAGCCGCAAGCGTGGGACTTGACCTATGGTTCTGTGTTGCACCCACTGACGCGTCCATCGTCCATGGGTGGCTTATGGGAGGCGAGCTGTTCTTGGGTATGGCGGGCACCGGCGAAGTGACTGATGTTTGTTCGTCCCAGGAAGAATCAGAAGCTGGGTTTCCTTTGAAACACAGGGCGGTTGATATGTTGGCGGAGAAACACAAGGTGTTCTTGGGAGTGTTTATCATAATGAGTCGAAGTAACATGGGCATGGGCTTGCAACTCGCAGGATCACTCTTGGGTGATGTAGGTGAACTGTCACTGACCCAGAGTTGCAGGGTTTTTTCAGCAAAAAGATCAAGTGGAAACAACTGAGAAGCAGCTATTTGCTAGTACTGTTGATGGACATGTGTTCCATTCTGTTCCTAGTCCACCTTGGAACCCATGAAAGCCTGGAAGTTGGGACAAGCCGGATACGCACGACGGATATGGCAGTGTGGGAGTTGTTACACTTGGTTTGGGCTTTCGTTTACCAGTGGGTTTGGATGGTACCCTAGTTTGGAGCCATAGGTGTATGATGGTAGTTATGATGGTATATGCAAGATGAAACATTTCGGCTTCAGACATTGAGCCTGGAGCATGGTGCCATTGGTCATTTCTTTGTTTGATTGGCTGAGCAGATGTTAAACCTTCTGCAACGCCAGGACCCGAAAAGACCTCCAAAGGCCTTGAAACGCCACAGAGTTCCGTGGCAAACACATTTAGCGGGTAAATCTTGGCATCCTGATCTTTAGGAGGGGTCTGAAGAAGTATCTTGGTATGTGAATGAGGAGACTTCTGAACCTGTACGCCGCGATTTTTTTGTTTCACATGTTTTGCATTGCCTCTTTTCGGCTCATCTGGGGGTCTTCTGGGGTTCTCCCATCTGATTTACCTCCACTCTCATCGGCTGACCTCCACGACCGGAGGTCGTGGGTGGATCCGAGAAGGGCGGCGTGCTGGTGCGAACGGCCGCAGCTCGGCTTTCAGGGCTGGTGAGGGCGTCCCTGGCCATCGTTGTCTCGATTCTGCTCGGAGGCCAGGCCATCTACAATACCACAAGGGTCAATTCTGGGTGCTCTCCGTGGCCGTTTTGATGCCGTTTGGTCTAGAGTCTAGAAGCCAGGGGCCTTTTTTGTGTGGCTGTGTGAGAAAATGCTGCTTCCCGACCACTTGTTTTCGATGAGTCCAGTTTTTGAATCTGCAAGACAGTTCAGTGTGGTCAGTGTGGCCTCTTCATCTGGCAAACCACCAAGGCTCTTGCTATGGCTCTTGTCTTTGGCAAAGCACCAATCCTGTAGGACATAGATGTTCCCTTCGGGAACAGATTCGATCCATGAACTCCATGAGGGCACCGACCCTGGCACCAGCAGTGCGGTTGACCAAGCAGCCCCAAAGGCCCAAGGGCCTGGACGCAGCCGGGGAACCGGCTTTTCGGCATCGGTGTGGTTGTCATGCGCTTCCCGGCCGCTTCCGAGGACGATTCCAACATCGGGCGTTTGAGCACAGGCCGCTTGAGCGGCTTTCGCGGGCTGCTCCTGTCGGCTCTTTGGGGTAACAGGTGGCTTTTTGGTCTCAGGGACAGTAGGAAAGTACGAAAGAAAGGGTTCGTTAAGGTTTGATATTGATTCTGACTTTCGGAGCCTGGCGACCATCTTTCCTTCTACTGTATTATATAACTCTAAAGCAGGAGGGCGCAACAATGCACATTTTTTCTCATTGAGACATGATGAGTTGCACACGTTCTGTGGTGTTGGTGGTGTTGCAGAAATCCCCAAATCCGCTGAAATTTACATGAAATTTCATCATTCTGCAGATGTCCCCTCATTCTGCGGAAATGTCCATCAACTTGGAAGTTTGCAGACATTTTAATCTAAAGAGTTCATAGGCAAAGATCTACAGGATAATATTGTGATAGTCCGACTTTGGACAGGGTACAAAAGAAAAGACATTGACAGCTGATGACAGTGTTTGGCACAAGATCTAACTTCAACAGTGCATTTCAAATTTCACAAGATTCACAAGATCTTTTTGCACAGATCGACTACTGCAAATGCCATCGAGAGACACGTGGAGAGCTCCGTGGAGAGACACGTGGAGAGCTCCGTGCTGCGTGTCCAGGTGCCCTCTTAGAGGAGCTTGGCCGGGAGGACAGCCGAAGAGAAGCCTCCAAGAGAAGTCTTCATGGTGCCTTCAGAGGCCTATATAGACCCGCAAATAGATAGAACAGTCTAAACACCCTTTCAAAATGCATTGGAAACAGTTTCTATCTATTTGGGGACCACTATAGACCGGATTGCCAGATTCTTGGAGAACTCCTCATAGAATCATATCTTTGTATGTAGATATATATCACATGTTGGGCTAGTGTGGCCGCGAAGTTTAGGGTTTGGCTCGAAGAGCCACATATGAGTCATCCAGACCAAATGTTCTCCCGGACTGGGCAAAACGCAACATGGGATTTGTTCCTTAGAATATTATTCAGAGAAACCATGGTTGTTTGATTGCCATCCTACTCGTAGGATCCACACAGTCTTCCTGCACTGGCTGGTCACATCCCACACTGGTCCGTTGATCCTTCAATATCGTGGAGCTGACGATCTCCATTCAGCCTCACATCGACAAACAGCCTCACCACACATCGGTGCTGTGGTTCTTTCGACAACGGAGCAGGTTAGCAGGTTCAGGTTCTGGTTTTAACTGGTTCAGCTGAGAAGGTTTTAACTGGTTCAGGTTCTGACTTGTGGTCCATGTCTCATCATGTCTACACCACCCGCCAATCGTTCCATGGCGTGGCAAAAATTGCTCATGTGTCCGCCAAAAAGGGCTCCCACGACCGCAAAAGGGACCAGGGCTATGGGCGGCACCAGGACACCCTGGTTGTTCCCACCGAACATGAACTAATCACGACAAAAAGAGAGGTCTCGCTCTCCCGGTCCTTCTCCATCACCGGCCCCCGGGCCTGCGCGATCGCCGGAGGAGCAAGGTCTACGTTTCCGGCGACTCTACGGCCTGGGACCTGTTGAGGGCTGGATACAGC